AAAAAATCATTTGACAGAAATGTACAGTAATTTAGCTAAAAATCTATCGATTTTAAAGTTCTTTTGTTTCAACTTTTAAAGAGTTATACTGATTTAAAGTTTTTTTTTTCTTGCCAATAAAAGTGGATATGATTTGTTATGATACGATTTGCTATTCAATATTTTATAAAATTAACAAAATTGGATGATCTTGGCATCTGATTAGTAAATCATATGCTGACAAAACTTATTATTATTGAGGTGAATGATTTACCTTAAGCAGATTCAGGAAAGTAGACAATAATTATAAAGTCTGATAAATCCCGAGTATCGTTGTAAATTTCATATAAATTAAAATTAGTTAACATTAATGGCAAGATTTCTCATTGACAATGTGATATTTGAAACAGTTTCATTGACGGACATGAGTTCAGCTTTGTTTAGCTCGGTCGAAAACCTTAATTGAGATTGATCATTATCTCGTGATATGATCCACCTCTATTTTAGGTCTAGAATTCACTACTAACGCTAATAAGAAGTTGGTTTTTTTTTTTTACACAAATTAGAGCTTATATTTATGAAAAAAAAAAAAATATAAAACATGAAAATAGTTTTATCGAAGTGATTCGTGATATTATCAAATCAAATGCACTTTCTAATTCGCTTTATATTGAGTATAATTCTTATAATACTTGACTTCATATTATATGTGCTTCCAGTACTTATAATATGTACTATCCCGACCATCATCCTCTTCATACTATTCTTCCTACCAAACTTATTCTATCTATATTATGGAATAATATTCAACAATTATCTTGGCCCAAATCTTAAATTTATTTCCCTTCTATTTACACCATACATATTAATAATTTACTTTCCATTTGGTTTATTTCTTCCAATATTCTACACGTTACAGATTTTACTCCATGATCCCATCAAGCAACATTATAAAAGATCAAATGATGCATTTTTTACACTTTCACCTACTGTTGCATTTATATATTTTATATATCATAAAATATTTCAAAATAACTTGGAGATAATCAATTTAGATGTTGACAATAGGTGGGACAAATTTTCGGAATCACCAGCTGCAAAATCAATTCTTAAATCTGTGGAATTTGTTAAATACATTTGGAATTATTTTTATATCGAGATACCTTCCATAATTCATGATTACAGAACTTATAAAGGAGAACGCGTAGATTTTAGTATTCTTCATTCATTTCTTTCTCTGTTGATGGTGTGGGTTTGTTTAATTGTCACTCTTCCTGTGGTTATTATTGCATGTATAATCTTTTATATTCCATTAATAATAAGATTAGTAATTAAGCTTTGGAAAAAACATTTAGAATATATTAGTCTTGAGAATTTATACAATTCTATAATAACTTTGCTATTTTTAATCTTTATGACAATTTTTTCACCAGTGATCGTATTGGTTATAGAGGTAGCAGTTATAATCAGTGTATTTTTCGTTTCGTTATTGGAAGTATGGTGCGTTGGTCTTTGGTCAATTTGGGCTGGATTTGAAATGATTGAATGGATCTTGGTATGCATTATAGGTTATTGCTGGAATATTTTTCTTTAAAAGTATTTATTTGGTTTACTTTTACGTACAAACAATAAGTAAGACAATAAGTAAGACAATAAGTAAGGCAGTGAATAAGGCAGTGAATAAGGCAGCGAATAAGGCAGTGAGTAAGGCAATAAGGCAGCGAATAAGGCAGTGAGTAAGGCAATAAGCAATGAGTAAAAATTTACCCAATTAACATTTACTATTTTTTGTCTTAATTTGTATAATAATTTATATATATAATAATTCTTTCCTAGGTTCTTAACTAATTTAATATTCTTTTTCGAAAACACCTAATCTAATTAATTGATTAAGAATTATCAACATTTATCTTCTATATTTAATTTTAATCTGTATAATAATCAAAAGTTGAAACAAAAGAACTTTAAAATCGATAGATTTTTAGCTAAATTACTGTACATTTCTGTCAAATGATTTTTT